GAGCAGAGCGCAATCCGTGTCTGTTCGGGGAAGGGTCAGGATTTCAATGGTCCTCGCGGGACTTCGGCAGCTCAGGATGTTCTGTGGGTGTTTGGAGCGGGGAGCGGGAATTGAGCGTTCGGGGTTGTGTTGGAGATGGATGTTTGGAGTGTGAAGTGGAAACTGAGCGTTCGGGGTTGTGTTGGAGAGCGAATCAGAGATGAGTGCCCTAATGCGCGGTTGGTTCTCATTGAGATAACCCCCTGGGTAGAGCTTTTCATGGCCTTTGAAGGAATTAAAACACGTCTCTACTCTCTGGGACCAGTGACAGGACCTGAGGGAACAGCTGGAGCTGTGTAAGGGTTCATTTAGGTTGGATATCAGGACAAGGTTCTTCCCCCAGAGGTGTTTGGGCACTGAACAGCTCCCCAGGGCAGTGGGTACAGCCCCAAGGCTGACAGAGCTCCAGGAGTGTTTGCCCAACACTCTCAGGCACAGGGTGAGATTGTTGGGATGTCCTGGATTAATGATCCATGTGGTTTCCAGTTCAGGATATTCCCTGATTTGTCTCTGACCAAGAGGCTCCTTTGGCTCTGTCTGTGCTGCCATAGGGATGTATGAGCAGTAACCTTTGGAGCTCAGAGCCATGAGCTAAGCACCTAAAGCTCTTTCCAACCTGAAACTCTTTTCCATCAATCTCTGTGTGCGCCCTGGAAGTATCTCAGAACCAGCAGTGAAGTTTGGTGCAACTCTTGTGTGTGTGAACACCTGAGGAGATTCATATGAAATGTTTGCTGATTTCATGCTTTAAAAATCGAATTTTTTTAATTGGTTTTTGAAGCTTTCCATCAATGCTTTTGACTACAACTGCCACCTGGACCTGATCAAGCTGCTGAGGCAGGAGGGAGAGCTGGTGAAGCTGCGCAGGGCTCGGCAGAAGATGAGTGAGCTCTTCCCCCTCACTGAAGGTACTTGGTGCCTTCTGCTCTTGCTGCTGAAGCATCACCTGTGGGAAATGCTGGTTCAGTAGGAAAATCACATCTTTGGGCCAGGTTTAAGCACACTCAGACAGGAATTGACTCAGAGCCCAAACTCAGGCCAGAATGGACATTTCAGGGACAGGCAGCAAAGGAATTCCATGCTGGAAGCAGTGGTTAGTCCTTGAGGTGTGGCTCACTCCTTGAGTTGAGGCTGTGTGAATACTGCTGCTGTGTCAGTGGGATTTTAGCCTTGGAAGAGGAAGGTGAGGCACTGGCACAGGTTGCCCAGAGAAGCTGTGGCTGCTCCATCCCTGGAAGTGTTCCAGGCCAGGTTGGAGCAACCTGGGCTAGTGGAAGATGGCAGGAGGTGGAATGAGATGAGCTTTAAGGTCTCTTCCAACCCAGACCATCCTGTGGGGTGTTTTTTTTCTGGGAAACTCAGTCTCCAAATCCACTTGCTGTTACAGCAGTGTGAGGATAGAAGGATCTCCCATGGTTCCATGTCCACACTGATCCTCTGCCCAAGGTGCTGATAAATTGCTGCTTGTCATTTCTTCCTAAGCTGCTGGTTTAGTTCCAGCTTAAAAAGTCTCCACCAAACATTTATTTCAGGCTAATTGTGATTTGTTGTGGAGCTCAAACCATTCCTTTTGCCTTGGCCTCTCCCTGTTTTGAAGTCTACTGCTAAAAACTCATATGAAAAGCTCACTTAAGTGGGTTTAACTTGTCATTTGTGAACACTCCTAACTGTTTTCCTCGCAGAGATTTGGCTGGACTGGCTGAAGGATGAGATCAAAATGGCCTCGGAGAGCTCAGAGAGAGAGAAGGTTTATGAGCTGTTTGAACGAGCTGTCAAAGATTACATCTGTAAGTCAGCAATAAATGCCATCAAATCTCTTTGTTACATTCAAGTTTGCCTTTTGAAGTCCAGGAAAGTCTTTGTTACATTCAGATTTAGTTTTTTTTTTTCCTGTAGGAAAAAAGGAAGGAAAATGATCATGTGTTGGCCAATTTATCTGCAGCAAATGAGCTGTTTGGGAAGCAGGACTGCCTTTGATTTTGTATTTTTGAGAACATAAGCCATCTGTTTGTCTCCTAACCTTGTGTTTAGGTCCTGAGATTTGGTTGGAATATGCCCAGTATTCCATTGGGGGCATTGGGCAGGAAGGAGGGATCGAGAGGGTTCGCTCCATCTTCGAGAGAGCTCTGACTGCAGTGGGGCTGCATGTGAGCAAGGGCACAGCTCTCTGGGAGGCATACAGGGAGTTTGAGAATGCCATCCTGGAAACAGCACAGGTAAGGCCATTCCCATGGCATCTCATCCCACACAAGCAGCTCTTGGAGCACCTCAGGCTGTTTGCTCTGAGCTGTTGTGTCGATCAGTTCTTCCTTTCCAGCTGTGGAAACTTTCCCTTTGCTCTGGGCTAAACCATCCTGTGTGTTTAGGTGATAAAGTAATGGATTTGGGTTTAAATAAATGCATCAAATCCCAAATCCAGGAGCAAAGTTTCCCTTTGCTGATTGAACTGCTTTAGGAGAGCTCCAGTTCTTGCCACTAAATGTCTTTGCACAGAGTCAGTTGTGTTCATTGTCTATCCTGTTTTCTACGTCAGCTTTTAATTCACTGTGCCACACTGTTTGTGGCTTTTGGATGAGGAAGTTTTATCCCTGGAATATAAAATTTACACATGCCAATGTTACCTTTACAGCATGGCCAGAAAGTGAATATTTCTCCTCATTTTCATAGTTTGCCACCTAAGAGATGGAAGTTAAGATGTTCCTGCTCATGGGAGTGGGAACCAGGTGATCTTTAAAAGTCCCTTCCAGCTCTGTTCTCTGAAAGGAATGACAGGAGAATTCCCTTCCATTCCCAGACACAATAAAGCTGGAACTTTGAGATCCTCTCTCTGGCAGCCTGTGTGGCTGTGAAATGACACCATCACATGCTGTTCCTTCTTCTCAGGTTATCCTTTCCCTCTGCATGTGTCACCTTTCAGCCAGGAATGCTTTTCCCATTCATCCAACTTCCAGATGGAGCAATTTCCACAAGTTTTACCTTTCTCAGCAGTGACCTGAGACACAAGTTGGCTGTGCCTGTCCTTCAGGGATTGTGTAGTCACTTGGATTCCAGTTCAAACAATTCCCTGTCACGTCCCCCAGCTCATATCCCATTCCCTGTCGTCTCCATCAGCTCAAGCTTGAGGGAAGTGATTGAATTCCCACCCTTTTGTTTGCAGCCAGCCCCTGGCAGCATTCCCTCCCCGGAGCAGCAGCAGGTGCTGTGCAGCCAGCTGGAAAAGATCCACACACTGTTCCGGCGCCAGCTGGGGATCCCACTCCTAGGTGAGAGCTGGGGCACCTGGGAGACAGGGATCCAGGTGACAGGGAGGGCAGGGATAAGCTGATTGAGGGATCCAGGCATCAGGGAGGGAATGGATCAGGTGGGTGATAGGGATCCAGGCATCAGGGAGGGAATGGATCAGGTGGGTGATAGGGATCCAGGCATCAGGGAGGGAATGGATCAGGTGGGTGATAGGGATCCAGGCATCAGGGAGGGAATGGATCAGGTGGGTGATAGGGATCCAGGCATCAGGGAGGGAATGGATCAAGTGGGTGATACAGATCTAGGCATCAGGGAGGGCAGGGATGAGCTGAGTTATGATCCAGGTGTCAGGGAGAGCAGGGATAAACTGGAGCACAGGGATCCAGGCATGATGATTCCTTTGGTAGAGCCACACAAGCTGCAGCTGGAATAATTGTGCTTTCTTTATTCCATGCCATTTGCCCCCTGAGTGATCCCTTTGGGTCAGGAATGCTGTTATTGATTGGAACTTGATTGTTCAGTGCATCATTTGAGACTCTTGAAAGTGCAAGTCTTGAGCGGCAAATGTGACCATTAGAACTGGTAAAACTATAATAACATAACTTTAACTTCTAACTTGACTATGACTTGCCCTGACTTTGCTCCAGGACAGTGTGTAAGGTGAAGTGTCTGAACCTTTAAGCATGTGTAGTGTGATAGTGAAGACCAGAAGGGGATAAACACATCAAATCCTCTATGAATAAACCTAGGGACCTGTGTTAGAACCAAGCCTAGGTTTAATTGAGTTTTTAATGCCCTAAGTGCATTATTGATGGGTTTGATGTCCTCACAGACATGGAGGCTTCATATGCTGAGTATGAGGAGTGGTCAGAGGATCCAATTCCAGAGGCAACAGTAAAGAACTACAAAAGAGCTCTGCAGCAGCTGGAGAAGTGCAAACCCTATGAAGAGGCACTGGTAATGCTGTCACACCTTCCTTTGAGTCAGTTGCTTTGTGATGGTTTAATTTTCCCAAACTGATGGGTTTTCTAGTCTCAGCTGAAGGAGGTGAATATTGCTGGGGGACTGTGAGCAATGGGAGGGAAAGGAAGCCTCACAGCTGGGAATACTGGAAACTCTGGAATCCACTGACTCTCAGCCACCCTGTGGTGCACATGAGTGAGTGCTCTGGGTGTGTTGTCCAGCCTTGAGGAAAAACAAGTGTGGATCTGAATGGTTTCAGAGCAGGGTGGGATTCAGGGGGGTAGGGAAACCAAAAGCTGCTGATATTTAGGAAGTTTTTCCCTGTGAGGGTGGTGAGACCCTGTCCCAGGTTGCCCAGGGAGGCTGTGGCTGCCCCAACCCTGGCAGTGTTCACAGCCAGGTTGGATGAGCCTTGAGCAACCTGCTCTGGTGGGAGGTGTCCCTGCCCAGGGCAGGGGTTGGGACTGGATGATCTCTGAGCTCCATTCCAACCCCTTAACACTCCATGACTCTATATTTAGAGGCAAAACTCTTGTGTGAAATCTTGCAGAAGATCTGCTCGGAGTACCAGCAGAACTGTTTGAATTGTGCTTTGTTGAAGTGTCGATTGAATGTTTTCAGAGTACCAACAGTAACTGTTTGAATTGTGCTTTGTTGAAGTGTCGATTGAATGTTTTCCTGCTGTTTGTTGCCCAGCTGGGAGCAGAAACACCAAAGCTGGCAGAGTACCAGGCCTACATTGACTTTGAGCTGAAAGCAGGTGATCCAGCTCGCATCCAGCTCATCTATGAGAGAGCTCTGGCTGAGAACTGCCTTGTCCCAGACCTCTGGGCACGTTACAACCAGTACCTGGTAAGGAAATGACCCACAAATGTTTGCAGCTTCGTTTTCCTGTTTTTCTTTGGGTGTTCTAGGCTCAGTGGCTGATAACCAACCAGTGAGTTCTACCTCAGTCCTCTCCTTTAGTCTTTAAATCCTCCAGAAGCTGATTTTGCCCTTTTCTTTCCTGCTGTTTCCAGGGGGGTTTATTGATCCACTGAACATTCCTCACCATTTCCCTCTAGCTATGGTTCCTCTGCAGAATCAAACCAGGTCTGAGCATCAAAGCTGGTGCTATCTATAACCAGCTCTGCTAAAGCAAACCCAAATGTTCAGCCCATGTTTCCATGGGAGCTATTTAGTGCAGTCTGAACCTGATCCTGAGCTCCAGAGGCAGGACAGAAGGTGGCAGGATTAAGGGCTCAGGATGAGTCCCTGCAGGAGGTTTATCCAGGCTCAGTTGCTCCCTCAGCTCTTTATCTTCCCAGCAGGACACAGCAGGTTGCAGGTGGAGCAGCACCTGCAGGAATGGGCTGTGTGTGCTCCCTCTTTCTTGTATCCTTCTCCATAACATCCTAACAGTTGTGAATTTGTTCTGTGCCTCTGTTATTTGCCTCATTGCCAGAAAACACCTAAGTAGTTTGGTAGTTCTTGTGTTGCTCATGAGTGTCATTTTGAAGCTATTCACTGGGTTTTTAGGGAGACAGAATTAAGACACCCATCTCAGCCTTTCAGATAGCAAACACAAGGACTGGTTTGCTCTTTCTGATCTGGGATTTGGCTTGGATGGTCTCTCTGGCTAACAGGAACTTCCCCTTTGGTGTGTGGTTCTCTCAGGACAGGCAGCTGAAGGTGAAAGAGTTGGTTCTCTCTGCCCATGACCGAGCTGTCAGGAACTGCCCCTGGACTGTTGGGCTGTGGATTAGGTACCTCCTGGCCATGGAGAGGCACAGGGTTGAGCACAGCATCATTTCTGGTAAGGAAACCCCATCTCAGCAAAGCTTTCCAGTCCAGAACTGCTTTGTTGCACTCTGAGTGTGCCAAATATGATTTGCAGGGTTTGTTTTCATCCTGTGCAGACTCAGAGCTGTTTCTAGGCCAAAGCTGCTGGTGCTGAGCAAGCAACGAGTGAACAACTTAGCATGAACATTACTGAGTTAAACTGGCCTTAAATTCACTTTACACCAGTTTATTTGGATTTTCCTCCTGTAGTTTGCTGTTTGCCTAGAAACAAACACTGCATGTATCTGTATTTCTTTGTGCTTTACACTGCAGCTCACTAGTCCTGACAGTGTCTGGATGCTAATGATGTTTATCTGGTTTTTATTCCCCTCTTTTCTTTCAGAAATGTTTGAAAAAGCTCTGAATGCTGGTTTTATCCAGGCCACAGACTATGTGGAGATCTGGCAGGCATACCTGGATTACCTGAGGAGAAGGGTGGATTTTACACAAGGTCTGTGGTAAATGTGGGAATAAATCTCTCAGCTGTTTCCTCTGCAGATCTCTGGGAAATTTAACAGCAGTTTCATATCTTTGAAAAAATCACTTTCTGACCACTTAGTGTCTGTAAAACATGAGAGTTTAGGTGGTTTAGAGTAGTTCTTGCTGACAGAGTGGACTGTGCTGTTGGAAGAATCCTCTGCCTTACATTTTTGATGGTTTTTATTTTGAAGAGTTTTGCTCGTAATGAAGTAATAAATTTAAGTAATAATAAGACTAATCAGAAGCAATTAATTCTGTCTCCCCCAGCACCCAATGAAATCATTGTGGGTGGTAAGGAAAAGGTTTTAGTGGATGGAAAATTGGGATTAAATTGTTATTTTAAGGCAATTCTCTCTTTTCTTCCAGACTCCAGTAAGGAACTGGAGGAGCTGCGTTCAGCCTTCGCACGAGCCGTGGAGTACTTGAAACAAGAAGTAGAAGAGAGTGAGTTAAACCCTCAAATATATTCTTTTCTCTTGTTCAAAATCACTTGTGCAAGACCATTTCTCACAATGTTTAACTTGCCTGCAAGTGTTCTGAGCACTTGTCCAGAGCTGCAGAGAAGCATTTCCTCTCCATGGGGAAGTTGTGTGATAAACTTCTGATTGTCCAGAGCCAAGTGCACCAAACAGTCCTTGTTTTCATCCCTAGGGTTCAGTGAGAGTGGAGATCCATCCTGCACCATCATGCAGAACTGGGCAAGAGTTGAGGTGATGTTTCTATCTCTCCTGTATTTCATTCCCAAACTAGATAAAACTGATTGGTTTAATGTTCCGTGCAGGAATGAAATCCTTTCCTACTGTGGCATTTCTGGCTTGGCTCAGTGAGCAAATCTTTGTTCTTCCACTCTTGTGTGGAAGAAGATTCTGGACTGGCCAAGCACACAGAGTGTAGCTTCAGGCTTGGGGCTGAGCTCTGAACTGCCTAATTCAGTGCTGCCTACACTAACCACTTGCAGCCCAGCACAGGTGTCAGTGTGTGCTGCAGCCACTGCCTGTGAGTGGAGGTTTGGTTGTCCTTCCTTTGCCACAGGCTCCTCCAAACCAGCACAAGTCATAGCTCTGTGCTGTGACTTCTCTGGCACAGTGCACGGGATGGATTGGGCCTCAGTCTGAATTGATCACCTGTGTCTCCTGCCCACTTAGTGGAGGGAGGAAATAGGCACATCCAGGTGGGATTGAGCTGATGCTGAAGCACTTCTGAGTCACCTTCTGGTGAACTCATGTACCTCTGCAGTCAGATCAGGTGAATCCCACTTGGGTCTCGTGATTCATTGTCCCTCTTCCCCTGCTCCCTTCCCTAAGCACAGACTGAGAAGTGCCTAACTCCTCTACTAAGTACATTCCTCAATAACAAAAGGCAAAATTCAGAAGCAGCTTTCTAATTTTCTGTAGAATGACCAAACTGAAGTGGATGTGGGAGGCAGAGCCAGGACTGAGGGGAGAGGTAGGCAGGGAAGAATTACTCAGCAGAAGAATTGTGTTAGATGTTCACTTTGATCACTCTGAGGAGCAGATGTGTCTCCCTGGGTCTGTCTGTATCATCCTTGATTTGGGGGATGGAGGTGATGGTGTTGAACCTGAATCCTGAGTGGTTTGGGTGCTCCGTTCCAGGCTCGTTTGTGCAACAACATGCAGAAAGCCAGAGAGCTCTGGGACAACATCATGACTAAAGGGAATGCTAAATATGCTAACATGTGGCTGGAGTATTACAACCTTGAAAGGTAAGAGCTGGAGCGGAAGAGTTAAACCTCTTTAGTTTCCTTATCTGAAGACTTTAGCACGAGTGTGGCTCGTGTGGGTTTGGGAGGTGTGGAGGTTCCTGGAGCAGCTCTGAGGTGTGTTTTGGAAGGGTCACAGCACTCCAGTGAAGAGCTGGCTGGGGAAGGAGGGTGTAGGTGTTGTTCCATGTGGTGTTGCTGTGAGCTTTGGCCCTTGACTGCCTGTTCCCCCCCCAGAGCCCACGGGGACACGCAGCACTGCCGGAAAGCTTTGCACCGCGCCGTGCAGTGCACCAGCGACTACCCCGAGCACGTCTGCGAGGTGCTGCTCACCCTGGAGAGGATAGAAGGTAACTCACTGCCTCTTCCTCCTCTCCTCTACCCCCCTGCCTGCGGGGTGGGGGCACAGGGGCAAGTTGGCTCTGTTTCACACTCGGCCGAAGGTTCACGTTCTTGTCATTGGTGTAGTACAAACACAGCTCCTTCCCCTTGTCCTTGTCTTCCCCTCTCTCCCTGCCTTCCCCCTGTCCCTGTCCCTGCCTTCCCCACTCTCCCTGCTTCCCCCCTCTCCCTTGCCTCTCTTTTTTTCCTTTGAAGTCTCCTCATTACAGTTAGAATTTTGCTGACTAATGCCTAACACGAAGAGCAAATTCCATTAACTCGGTAACTCCCATTTTTCCAGAATTGTATCTTTGCATTGTGGGAAAGCTAAATACAAAGCTTTGATTTTCTTTTCCTTTGGTTTCTCCTGCAGGAACACTGGAAGACTGGGATGCAGCTGTTCAGAAAACAGAGACCAGATTGGCTCGAGTTACTGAACAGAGAGCAAAGGTCAGAACTTTGGGAGCCACCAGAGCAGTTTATACACCTCAATTAAGCTCCTGTTTGTCACATTTCTAGTGTTGCTTCCCCTAGCTAAGCCTGAATTGTCTTAAAGCCTCCAAACCATTGATTTTTTTGTTAAAAACTCTGGTTAACAACCTCTCTTGATGCTTTTATCCTTCCCCTTTTGACCCTTGGGTGGCTGTAGGAGTGCTGTGCACTCAGGGAAAGCTGTAAGAGCAAATCACTGAGTGGTGCTTTCAGTGCTGCTCCCATCAGTGCTGTGTTTAATGGAGCTTAGGAGCAAACCCTCAGGGTTCAGTGCTCCAGCAAATGCTCTGCAGTGTCAGAAATGTTCCATCTTTGCAGGCTGCTGAGAAAGAGGCTGCTCTGGCAAAGCAGGAGGAGGAGAGAGCTGAGCAGAGGAAACAGGCTCGGGCAGACAAAAAAGCCTCCAAGAAAGCTAAGAAGTCCAGGATTGGAGACAAACGCAAAGCAGATGAGGATGATGAGGGAGAATGGGGCCAAGAAGAAGGTAAAAATCACATAAAATTGACATTTCAGACCTTGTCAGCATGGCTGTTATTCTCTCCCCACCAGCTGAGGAGCTCCATTACTGGTGTGCTCAGAGCTGCTCTGCTCAGGGGCTTTGTCTCCTAGCAGGTCTCTGTTGTGCTAATGAAAAGAAATCAAGGTTAATGGGTCTTGTCCAGCAGAAATGTATGTTAAGAACTAGAGTTTTCTCCATTTTTCTTATCTCAGAGGAATATTGCGCTCGTTCCCTTTCTCTGACTCATCATGTGTCTGAGGCATGTGGCTAAATTGGGTTAGTCAGTATTGGAGCAGCTCTTGGCAGGTGGTGAGAGCAGATTTTAATAGGTTGTTGCCCTTGGGAGCTTTTAGATTTTTGTTTCTTCCTTAAAAAAATCCCATTAGAGGAAGAAAAAGAACATGAATCAGCAACTGGAAGTGACTGGAAAAGGGACAAATATTACAATTACTTGTCAGGGCACAAATATTACAAAACCTCATTACCAGATCCTCCTGTTGCTTTCATCTAAAGCTGCTTTGGTCAGATAATCTGTTGTTATTGAAAACCTGAGGGAGGTTGTTGTGTTTGTGCCATTTCCCAGCGCCGCAGTGGGAATGGAGCAGGGATTGGATTCAACAATGGGATGGGGGAAGTTACTCTAATCAAGCTCTCAATTCCTCAATCAGAGCAGCCCAGCAAGAGGCACAAGGGAGAGAGGGATGGTGTCCTTCCTGAAGAAGACATGGAGGTGGAGACTGGGCTCTTTGGGAGAAGTGGCCCTGGAAAGCCTGATGGGCCAACAGTCCCCAAGGAAAAGGCCTCGACCAGCCGGAAAGACGTGCCCAAAGTTCTCCACGACAGCACTAAGGACAAGGTCACTGTGTTTGTCAGCAACTTGGCCTACACCATGGCCGAGCCCGAGCTGAAGCTGAGGGAGCTGTTTGAGAGCTGTGGGGAGGTGGCTGAGGTGCGACCAGTGTTCAGCAACAAAGGAACCTTCCGTGGCTACTGCTACGTGCAGTTCCAGGAGGAGAGAGCAGCTCTGCAGGCTCTGGGCTTGGACCGCACTGCTGTGGAGGGAAGGCCCATGTTTGTGTCCCCATGTGTTGACAAGAGCAAGAACCCTGACTTCAAGGTGAGGTTTCTTGCTCCAGGTGATGGTGCAGAGCAGAGCTGGGGGAGTGTGTTGTGTCCAAAGTGCTCACACCCCATGAATTCCTGTTTGGAAGGGTGAAACTTGTCTTAGACTTCTAGTGTCTTCTGTTGTTTGCCACAGACAATTTGCAATAGAGCATTGCTGTCAGTTTACTCAGTATCTGCAGGAATCTGCTGATCTGGGAGGGTTTTTTTAATGGTGTGACCTACCTCATGTTCTTACAGAGCATCTCAGTCTCTGAAGAACATTTTTGGTTGAGTTTATAGAGCATTAATTACACAGCTCACTGGTGGTTACTGGTCTGTACCAGAGATCACTCGTATGATCAGTGGTTACTGGACAGAAAATTCAGTGTTCAGTCGTGACAGCTGAGCTGGAAGACATTATTGTAGATATATTGTTGTATATTGGGTTCTGATCCTTGTGGATCCTTCCAGCTCATGGCATTCCATGATTGTTAGTGTCTGACCTCACTGTGAGGGAGAAATGGATGTCTAGAAGCATTTTCTTGCAAGTCCTTAGCATATTCCTGTGTTCATGTGCAAATATCTTCCATGATACAACTTATGACTTTAAGGTAGTTGTGGCTCACACAAGTAAAGGGCTCTGGGAACTTTTTGGGAGTGTAAAGTTGAAATCCTTGGAGTCTCCAGGTGGTTTGTGAACTAACAGCCTGTTTGCTTGTTCAGGTGTTCAGGTATAGCACTACCCTGGAGAAACACAAACTCTTTATCTCTGGTTTGCCATTTTCCTGCACTAAGGAGGAGCTGGAAGAGGTGTGTAAAGCCCATGGGAATGTCAAGGACATTCGGCTGGTCACCAACAGAGCCGGAAAACCCAAGGTAAGGATCCTCACTGCACTCTTCACCTGAAGGAATCCTTCAGAAAGCAGCTTGGCATGAAGTTTGGATACAAAAAGTTGGGTTTATTGCGTTGCCAATGTGGCTTCTTAGTGAAACTCATGGCAGTGCTTGGATTTGTCCTGCCCAGGGTGTCTTTGTGCTGACAGCCAAGAGGGAGAAAAGAAATTTTTCCAAAATTGCCCAAGAAGAATGGGATGGAGAGGAAGGTGTTCACATCACTTTGGGTACAGTGCAAACAGGCATTAGCAAGTCTGCAAAGTTCAGAGTTCACCTGGTGTAACCAATTCCCATCCTCTTCTCCCTCAGTTTCCTGAGGCTTTTGTTCCTACCATCTGCTGCAGCAAGAGGTTTGCCAGAGCCACCTCTGACAAGGCTCATTATTCCCACCCTGGGATCAATGACTCCTTGTTTAGTAAGAGCCTCTGAAGCAGCTGCAGCTCTGCCAAGATGGTACCTGACACCTCAGCCATGGCCTCGTGGTGGGCCCTGCTGACAGGTGACATCCTAGGGGAGGTGGGATGTGTTTGAATCGTGTTTTTTGGCTCTTGGCACCATCTCAGGTACAGTCCCTGTTCATGCACACCTTGGAATGAGTGTTCTGCTGTACCCCAAGTCTTGCCATCCATGCTCTGAGCTTGGGTTGAGGTGGAATTGTGGCTGAACCACAAATAAATGTACTTTGTGCTAATTATGCAGAACCTGATGTGTTTTCTGTGCAATGGCATAATCCAAAAATGCATCTTAAGGCTTTGTGTGTCACTTTAAAGCAGAGCAGCAGTGAGAGGTGATGCTTCCCAGTCAGTGTCCTCCATGGTACTTCATTGCATTGACTTTGACAGGATTTGGGGTGGGTTTCTCTTCTTTTAATACTTCTTCCACAAATTAGGGTGTCAAGAAAAGCAGGTGGTAAATAGAATTTCTTTAGCTAAGGAATCTGGGACTCTTAACCACATGTAGGTTGGTTTTCTGGATGATTTTCTTACCAGTTGGTCAAAGTTTTATTCAAAGCCAGGTTGGATGAGCCTTGAGCAACCTGTTCTGGTGGGAGGTGTCCCTGCCCAGGGCAGGAGATTGGGGCTGGGTCATCTCTAATCTCCATCCCAACCCTTTGCCATGCTACGAAATGACTCAGGAACTCTGAAATGCAGAGCAAGAAGCACTAAAACTAATGTAGGTCACCTCTTTGCCAGGGCCTGGCCTATGTGGAGTATGAAAGTGAAGCCCAGGCCTCGCAGGCTGTGCTGAAGATGGATGGGCTGAGCCTGAAGGACCATGTCATCAAGGTGATGATCAGTAACCCTCCGCTGCGCAGGCTGCCGGACAGGCCCGAGGCAGGCAGGGCCTCCACCTTTGCAGCACCAAGGCAGCTCTATGGAGCGTGAGTAGGAGGGAAAGGGCTGCTTGGCAGGGCTGGAAAAGGGGTTCTTTGGCTTGCTTTGTCTGCTGAAATGTGGGAATCTCCTCTGGAATGTGTACCTTAAAGGGGATTGGAAAAACCAGGGAGAGGGATTTTGTGTACAGGTAGATCATGACAAGGGGGAATGGTTTTAAACTGAGCAGGGTTGGATTGGGTATTGGGAAGGAATTCCTCCCTGTGAAGTGCTGAGGCACTGACACAGGTTGCCCAGAGCAGCTGTGGCTGCTCCATCCCTGGGACTGTTCCAGGCCAGGTTGGATGGGGCTTGGAGCAACCTGGGCTGGTAAAAGGTGTCCCTGCTGGAATAATCCTCAAGGTTCTTCCAACCCAAACCATACTAGGATTGTATGAATGAGAGCATGTTTAAAAGGTGCTGAAGCATAAAGAATAGGTTGTTGGATTGATGAGGAAGAGCAGATTTTTCCTCTTCAGGAATAAAACCAGGTCTGTAGTGACTGAGAGCATTGGGCATTGGCATCCCCTTGGGTCTGGTATTGGCACCTGAGCCCTAATAACCTCCATGTCCTCTCATTGTGGAGAACCAGCCATTGTTCAGAGTGAGCATGAAGGCTGCTCTTTCATCTTTGAGAGCATTCCTGTCTTTATCCCTGTGGATAAACAGAGCTTCAATTTCTAGGGACCTTTGGTCAGTCATTGCCAGAGCTCGGGTGTACAGTTTCAGACACCATTGAAAGCTTTGCACTGCTTATTCCTGAAACAAAGGGCAGGAATAACATTTAAACGAGTGCTCCTCATGGTGAACAAAGTCTGTGTTGTTCCCCCAAGCCCAAAGAGTGTGTTTAAGTGTCCCTTTTTGCTGTGCAGGAGAGGGAAGGGCAGGACTCAGCTCTCCATGATGCCTCGTGCGTTACAGCGTCAGAGCAACCCTGTGGCCAAGGCTGAGAATGGGATGGTCCAGAACTCACCAGCAACGTCCTCTGAACCCCCTGCAGAGCCTAAAAAGATGTCCAATGCTGATTTTGCTAAGATGCTACTGAAAAAGTGAGCAACGAGGAGTCTGCAGTCAGCAGGTCTGGTACAATGTGAAATGCCTTTCTGGAAGCCATGTTGTGTCCTTATGCTAGCAAGGAGAGAACTCCATCACAATCCTGTGTACATACTGGTCTGGACTGCTGCACTCATCAGGATCAGTGTAGGATGGCACAAATCCAGGTGGTTTTCCTCTGAAGAGCAAAGAGTTCTGCTTTTGTGGTGAAACGGTGTTAATATGATTCCTCATATTGAGGGTAACGAGGGGGGAAATGTTTCCTGCCCAGCTTGGATGCCACAGGGAGGTGTTTTCGAGTACTTTCTCTTTCCTTAACGAATGAGATGCGATGTGAGAAGCTCCTGAGCTCCACTGCTCAGCTCAGATTGTGATTGCAGACCTTCTCTCTGACAACCAGCCCCTTCCCACCCCCAGCAGCTCCTTCCATGCAGAGTCCCATGGCAGATGCTCTAACCTCACCACAATGGCCTATTTTAGTATTGGGAGAGTTTCTATACATATGTGTGTATATGTAGATACACAGATATACATAGATATGTATCCAGTTCCTGTTCTGTTCCTCTTGACCTGTTTTTTATATGGTGTATTTGTAAAAGACACTGAGATGATCCTTTTGAAGTGTCAGGAGCTAAACCTTGGTCAGTTTTGTTTCCCCATGTGCTGTTGCTGAGGACCATATTTTTTTGGTTGTTGGTTTATTATTTTTTTTTTGTTAGCTAGCTCCTGTGTCTTTTTTGCAGGTGGTTTCTGTACGGTTTTGTACAAATGTGAAGTGCAAGCTGATGTTTCTTGGTTTATTAAACTCAAGTTCTCAAAGGTTTTCTATAAATACTGTTGCTTTTGTTTAACTGTGGGTGTTGGGATTGCACTCCTGGACCTCAGCTCACTCATGTACCTGTAAGTAGCTCATTCTCACTGCTCTGACTCCCCTGAAATTGCTTCAATCATCACCTCAGACTTCCCAGTAATGTGGGATAGAAATATTCCTGCTTGCCAGCTCCACACACACTGAGGGGTGAGAGGTGAGAGGGAACCCCAGTGCCAACTCCCCTTGTTGCACACAGCCACTGCTGCAAACAAACACGATTTTCCCTGCTGATTTCACTTGGCTTGGCTTGAAAATGCTGAGTCTGATGCCACGTGGCTGAGGGAAGGATCTGTACCACAGAGCTTCCTCCTCCACTGAGCTCCCTGCAGCAGCGTGTTCTGAACAGCCTATTCCAAACAAAGACTTTAATATTAAAATAGTTTATTAATCTGTTACTAAAATAACATTTTTTTCTTCTCCCTCCCCAGAGCTTTTAAAGTGCAGGTTTTATTTATACTCAGGTTGCACTACAAAAATAAACATGCTTTGAAAGGACAGAACACCTTTCCTCACTAGGGTTTGCTTCCCCTGGCAGCACTGAGCAGTACAGAGAACTCCCATCTCCTGTTTGCTGCTTGTGCTAACCATGTCCTAACTCCCTGCCAGGTAAGAGAGGCTTAAAAGGGAAGAAAAATCACCTCTGGCCTGGGCCTAATTGCTTTTAGAAAGGGGCTAAGCTTAACAGCACTCCAGACTGGGATTCTGATGGAAGTTTTCTGCACTTGGAGGTGGTGGGATCAGTTCTGCTGTTGCACACCTGGCAGGTGTGGGTAGGGAGCTATTCTGCAGGTGTTTCTACCCTAAGGAGCAAAGATCAAGTGATCCTTGGAACTGCTCAGCAGCTCCAGGTACTGCCCTAAGAGCCACTGCAGCACAGAGAGGCCTCGAGTGCCTCTTGGTGCCTTTATTGCAGTGACTCTGACCTCATGATCAATTGTGAATGTTCCCTTACACAGCCTAAAGAAACTTCAGGTTTTGGCAAGTTCTGCACTTGTTCTCACCACACTAGCACAACTGATGTCTCCTGGTTATGTCTGACTAGTCACCTTTTTTTTTTTTTTTTACCCCAAGCTCTTTTCAAAGCCTGAACTGAAATGTCTGAGGACAGTTGTGCTTGAAGTGAGTCAGAGCATTTCTCCTCCTGTTCCTTTCACACCACCAAATACTTCCCAGCTGTACTAAAGCCACCTCAGGAAAGGCACCTGAAAGGAAACATGCAAAGTGCTATGAAAACACACACAGGAGGGGAGAGAACCCTGTGAGCTGCAGTTCAGCCTCCTGGACTGGCAGCTGGGACAATGCTGCCCTTCAGGGTTGGGTTTTGCAGTGGGTTTTTTGCCCTTTTTTTGAACAACAAGGAAGAGGTAACACAAAACTCAGTTGAGGCTTTGCCAAGCAGCTCCTTGCCCAGGTCAGACCAACTAGGTGAGGGTTTGTGATTGAAGCAGCTCCTCAAAGCTTAACTTTCAGGAGGAATTCAAGTCTCCTTCAGCTTTTTGAGCCCTTCTGACACCTCTCCCCACCTCCTCCCAGAAGCACAAAGCTCTAGTGCACAGTCAACATTGCAGCTTGGCATAATGTAGATAAATAAATTATATTAATTTCATCAAATGTAAGACACTTTAAATAAACAAACTCCTAAAGAGTGACACCTCCTGTCCAGTTATTTCCCAACAGGAATACTTGAACGGTTTGGAGTTCTGTTCTCCCACCACAAACATCCACGAGCCTCAAGTCTTGACAGGGATGGTTTGTTTGCACCCAGCAGTGCTGCAGCCTGCCTCAGGTAAGCCCACAGAGTACTCAGTGGTGGCAATGAGCAGCATGTCCAGGGTTGTCTCGGTGCACTTGGCAATGAAGCGTATGAAAGGCCTCACGTCGCCCTCGTTGGCCACTTCCAGCACGTGGTAGTACTCGGCGCGTTGCTCCTTGCGGATGGTGATGGGTGGGTACCCTGCCTGCATCAGGATGAGGTTCATCAACAGCCTGGAGGTCCTGCCATTGCCATCCACAAAGGGATGGATGTAAACCAACTTGTAGTGCGCCAACGCGGCGAACTCCACGGGGTGCAGACTCATGGCGTCCTCCGAGTTGATCCACTGCACGAACTCCTGCATCTGCTTCTCCACGTCCTGAGGATGTGGTGGGATGTGATGGCCCACGAACACCTGTGTCACCCTGAACCTCCCTGCCTCCAGGGGGTCGGCATAGCCCAGCACTCTCCTGTGGATCTCCAGGATGTCGGCGGTGGTGACGGAGCCGATGCGCGACACCAGGGTGGTGTTGACGTACTTGAGCGCGGCGTGCATGCCGATCACCTCGTTCTGCTCCACCAGGCTCTTCCCCGGCACTGCGTACCTGGTCTCGATGATGTGTCTGATCTCAGCCAGCGTCAGGGTGTTGCCTTCGATGGCCACCGTGTGGTAGATGTGGTGGTAGTAGGACTCCTCCATGACGCGGCGCAGCGCGGAGTTGCCCTTGGGGATGGCCATCACCTTCTTGACTTTGCTGTCGATGATGCTGAAGAACCTCTGGTCAATCTCTTCCACTAAAGGCAGAGTCCGGCCCCGATTGCTCAAAGCCTTCTCGTTGTGGGGGGAGATGGTTAGTGCTTTGGAGTAGAGATAATCAGCTTGGATGATGTCCTTCTCCTCTTCAGAAAAGATCCCAAACTCATTCAGGGCATCCACGTAATCAGGGTCCATGCTGAGGGCGTAGAGGAAGAGTTTGTGGGCCTTTTCCCTCTTCCCTTGGCGCTTCATTTCCAGGGCTTGGTTCAGAGCTGCTTTGGCTTCCAACTTCACTTCTGAAATGCAACAACAGTGGTTAGACAACAGGGAGGAGAACAGGGTGTGTGTCTTCCTGAAAACCTCTGGAGATCTGGACTGGATGATCCCTTCCAGCTCAGGATATTCTATGATTCCATCACTGTTCACTGATAGAAAAATTAAGTAAAACCAAGGACTGTGACAGAATTTGTGTTCCAGCCTTTGCTGGGCTACAATCCCAGAGGTTTATGCCATGCTTTTAGGCTGAGTACAAGGCAGCAGAGCTGTTCCTGGCAGGAAGTGTGGTGAGACAGCACCTGTGAGCAGCAGTAGCCACAGGTGTGTAGCCATCCAGGCCCAACTGTGGCCACCAAACTGCTTTGAGTGGGAGGACACAACATCTCAAACACCTTCTCTTGGCCTTACTGTAGGTGAACTTAGACTACCACTGTTATGTTGGCTGCTAACAGCACTTCTGTTTGGTCACTGCACTAGCCAACGTTTTCCCAGCACTAACAGCTCTAGTGCAAACAAAGATAATGCTGGAATTATACTGATTCTTTGGAGTGTTTTCCAAATTCATATCCTAGCCATGACCACAGCCTGTTGTTCCCTGAAAGGCTGCTCTATGCCAGCCAGGATTTCAGGATTAAGGCCATCTATCCCAAATTCCTGTGTATTAAAACATCTCTCTGTATTCTAGTTACCTCCACAGGACTTACTGGTACTGAAAACATGAGGAAAAATTTGGGAGAGATGAAGCAGCACAGAGGGAATGCTGGCACAGGGCACTGGAATGCAGTCAGGGAGCTGCTGACGTGTCTGAGCCCTGGGGCAATTACAGCTGGTGCTAATTGCAGTTGGCAGTGAGAGTTCATTACCCTCGTGGGATTATCACTGTCGTCATGGGGTACAAGAGGTGGTCAGGGAGGGGGTACAGGACTCCAGGTTGGGGTTGTTTTATACAGCAACTGCCAGAGTGAACAGTTAGGGTTGGAAGGGACCTCTGGAGACCTAGTCCAAGGCAGGATCACCAGGTGACACAGGAACACATCCAGGTAGGTTTGAATGCCTACAGAGAGGAAAACTCCACAGCCTCCCTGGGCACCTGTTCCAATGCTCTGCCACCTTCATGGAAAGAAGTTCTCCCTCATATTGAGGTGGAACTTTAGTTTCTGGCCATGATTCCTTGTGCTGTCACTGGGCACCACTGACCAGAGTCTGGCCCTATCCTCTGACAACCCTTAGAGACATTTGTATGGATTGAGATCCCTTTCAGCCTTTTCTTCTCCAGACTAACTGGGCCCAGCCCCACAGTTACTCCTCACTGGAGAGATGCTCCATCCCCTCATGATCTCTGTGGCTCCACTGGACCCTCTCCAGCAGCTCCTTCTCTTCCTTGCTGTGAGGAACTCCCCTC